ATAATGCATGTCCTCGCTCAAATCTTATTAATTCAATTAGCCATTTTACTACTTCAAATGAATCATAGAAGGTTCTGGGAAATTAAATCTATTCGTTCTTGTTATGCACGGTCTGTTCAGCGATTTGTTCTATGCTGATTCATTCTAATGCTTCGTTGATTGTTTCGTGATTATGATTGCTCACAATTTAAACACTTAAACACTCCTCTTTCATATTATAGCCACAAAACTCACTATAAGCACTCGACTATGATTAGGTGCGGGTGTTGTTACGGCTGTTACTAGGATTATTAGCTATACACTGTTGACCGCACAGCACACAATATGTGTTAGTTACGGAATATCGTAAACTGTTATTTCATACATCGCTTGATGGTCCGCCTCCTTCTTCACATGGTTTTGCCGTTAGTATTCTCAGCTCAGTGCGGATGCCGCTGTTTTCTGCTTTGATACCTAGCGAGCATGTAACTTGTTTCGTTCTTTCGTGCAATAGTCATTTGATTTATGCTCACGTTACCCTGAAGAATTTCCGAAACTTCAAAAAAAAAAATTCATGCGAGTAACTCGTATGATACCAAATCACTGATACATATTTATTTATTCATTACTTCATTAATCACTTTATTCTCGTGTTTCATTATTTGTTTTTGTGCTTCCTTTCATTTTTTGCCTTGGATAGCATTTCATCACTAAATTGTGGTACATTCGCAATGGGGTAGTTACACACATGTAAGTATATCAGTTATGGGTACTTCGATGACGATCATGTTGTTAGGTTTCCCTTAATTAATTAACACTAATGATAGACAACATGCAATTTGATTGTGCTCAACTGAAAATGTTATGCTTAAGTGGCAAATGCCTTCCCTCTTCGTTCATTACGATGACGTCTTTAGAAGTTTTTTCAATGCTTTTCTTCTATTCTGGGCGTTTCGTGACTGAACAGGTAGATAAGTGCCTTGTGAATAGTGTTCTGAGTAGATGCTTTTATCAATTATTATTTTACATTTCTTGTGGTTATCAGTTCAATCCTTTCAAAAACTCATTCTCAATTCTTACCGACGTTTCACACGAGTCGTTAGAGGTGAAACTTGATCTGAGTCTCATTCTTATTACTGAATTTCAGAGAGTTCTGCTTCAGTAAGCAAAATAAACTCTTTTTCGTGGTTCAAGAAACGAGGATATTCGTTTTGTTCTTGAATATTGCACTTTCTCTGAGTACATACATACTAGATTCTTTCACACAGACAAAAGCCCATCAAAACTGCGATAATGAAGAAAGCATTAAAATGAATTGGAAGACAACCAACGATGTTTCTGCTATAATGCAAAACTGCAATAAATTTACGTCTCTTCTCAATTGCGATAAATATCACATTGAATTATTACATTTGACGCATAAAACCATTAGATTCTCGCATAAAGTAAAAGCCGCCATTTGTGAGTTTTTTCACGGACTATTTCGAAGATGGGTTTCTTTTTCATTCCACTAATTGTAAGTATGCTTNTTTCAGAGAATTGTTTTTTATCGCTTACAAAGCAGCGCACTTTTCTGCTTAAAAGACATCCATCCTCTTCCAGTAGATTATCTTGTCATCCCTTCTTCCCTCTCATCCACATTTCATTAATTTTTATTGTTTACAGTCAGTCTGACACATATTTAAATGCACATTCATTTCTTTATTCATTCTTGAATATGCGAGATTGTTTTCATCAACTGATCCATCATTATGACCCAAACGAAGCTTTTGCTCACCAACGAGATTTGAGCCCGCAACCCTTCCTTACTTCATGTAACGGATGAATTTTATCTGAATGGTGAATCTATTGATTGAATCTGAACCAAATAATGAATTGTCTGATTAAGAGCTGAGTATTGATAATACCGAAGATAACTTCTGAATCACGTTGATTGTGCATATTATTCGAAACTGCGCACACGACTGCATGAGGAGATTTATTCATTTTCAAAGGATTGTAATTGACTGCAATAATTAGAAGTATACCGTTAAAATCAAGCAAGATCAACGCAATCTCGTGAAATGAATACATGTCGATTAGCTGGGCAAACTCTACCCAGAGCCGTATTCCGCTCATTGGCATGCGCACAGTGCTTATTCTATATTTATTTTGTATCACCACCATATTCGAATGATTATTCGTTCTCATTTTGTGATTCCGGTTTGCTGATTTGTGATTCTGCGGATAGCTCGCATCCATGTGATTGCTCACAATACTCAAAAATATTCAACATTGAAGAATTTTCAATCAACAGGTTCATTTTATTTGAATTTCGTCACATTGCAATCATAATTAATAATAACCGGAACAAATCTTATAGCATTAATTTAAAAAAAAAACAACAGCAATAATGATTACGGCAAAAGCTTTCTTCTTCAACGTGATAATTTAAAAAGTCGATCATGATGAGCCACAATGAGCTGTCGTTATTTTTTATTTTGTTGAATTGTGATACTTCTGTATTCGCATTCCAATAGAGCAATAAATTGGATTAAATGCATTATGAGATCGAAGTTCTTGCTTCGAATTTGATACGAAAACATCTTCGTGATTGTTGCGTGATAGAAGTTTTGATGATTGTCTTGTAATTGTATTTACATACGAGCAAATACAAACGTGCACATACATAAGTACATCCGGTGTTATTAGTGCATAAGTAAGCAGAATACTGAATGAGGATAAATTTGCTATTAATATTTACAAATATCTTGAGTTAGTGATGAGAAGGAGTATATCAACATAGCGCTGTGACATTAGTTTTACATTCTGAAACTTAATAATGAGACATTAATTTTACACTCTAATAGTCTTAATAATGAGCTGACTGCATACAGCGAGTTTATTACAATGATAACGCATTACATGCTTTATATTAGCTGCACAGTATTTTTTTCCTGTTTGACCGATGTTCATTGGAAATAGAGCAAGATTAGTGTTAATTCAGAGAGCGTCAATAAATAGCAGATGATATTTGAATGAG